ATTCAATAATACAATTTTCAATTCCAAATATTGAAATTGCATAAAGAACTTTTTTGTATATCTTTATCTCTTAAATCTATTTTTCAAAAAAAGTAAAGAAATATCGAAAATGCAATAAAATTCATGCAATTTATAAGTGCAACATAAATGTTAATTATCAAAGAAAAGAATAATCATAAATCAAAGTAGATAAATTATTTACAAGTAGACAAAATTAAATTCTATAAAGTGAATATTAAGTTAAGTGTATGACTGAAGTAGCTTTTATCGTTTCAACCATAAAATAGATTTCCAAGTTTAGAATGTTTATTTGCTGTTCTCTCTATTCTATCATCATTTCAACGTTTTTCATACTCGAAGTCATTTAAAAGTCGTGTCATAATTCATTCAATGCTTTTCATTGCTGATTACAATATTACATAAGAACACGATTCTATTTAAGAAGACAACTTTGTAACTCAAGATAACTCGGCAGTTTTATTTGAAAAATTTTTATTAAAAATTAAATGAGAAAAACATTACTAAGTGACAAGCATGATAAGATTAAGATCAATTATGATAAAATTTTAAAATTGATCTCACACAAAAGCAATAACTGTCTTGTTGTTTTCAGTACTTACAGTCATATATATTCTCAAAATATCTTATCATAGCTCAAACAAGAATTAATAATTTGTGTATACAATCAGTTTTTAATTAATCCAATTTATCAAGAAAATGACGTCACATGATATCAAAATTTTAAATCAAGATTTAAGTGATAGAATTGTCGGCCGTATGTTCTTCGGATTGTGTTAATTCTTTTTCGGTATTAGTTTTATTTTGTGCAGCAGTATCTTCATTTAATTTAGCTTCTTCTTCTTTTTCAGGTACTATTAGTTTGTCGTATCGACTTCCAATTAATGGTAAATGAGGCGCTATCGCACTTGGCTCCAAGAAAAGTGCCGGAGAAACCTTCCGCACAAGAAAATATATTTTAATTTCTATATTTGTGATCGTGTTATATGCATTGCAAAATTCAATTATTATCAATTCTACATTAACTATTTAGAATGGGAGACATTATGTTTATGTATATGTAACATTTATATATAATGTAATATATTAAGTATAAATAAATAAATTCGAGACACTTCTAATATGCTGAACAATTAAAATATAATAACTATAATATTATTATAAACGTTTACTGCTTACCCGAATATCTTGGACTTTAGCTTCCCGTGATGTAAACTCACGTAACAAGTAATTTTTTCCGAATTCGTGATAAATTCGGGTATCATTTATTCTAAGCATTACATTATCGATTCTAAGAAAATATCGTAATAATATAAAAAAACTGCTGGGCATGACTCTCTGCACAACAAAGAATCAAGAATTTATATACAATTTTATTGCAAATTATTACGTAGAAAAAAGTTTTGTTAAAGTTGTCTAAAAATTTTGTCAAATACAAATCTGAAAATAATTTTGTTAGACTGTCAAATCTAATGTAGGATGTTTAAACATTATAATACTACAAAATATTTTATATTTTAGCAAAATATAATTTGCTAATTTGAACGTTCTATATAATTATTTTGATGGCCTTAAATTATTTTCATATTTGTACTTGATCAAATTTTTAGATATCTCAACAAAATCATCTTTTCCCTATAGAAAAGTATGAAATAACTTACAATTTTTACCGAATTCACGGCAATACCATTATCATGGAGTTCGTCTTCAAATAGCGTTAAATCATGATAAAACATAATCTTATCCCTCTGTTTTAATTTATCCGTATCAATTCTTTCATTTGTTTCCTCGACTTGAAAGCCAGATATTGTACCTGTATAATTGGTAGTGAATGTCCAATCGAATGGCTTTATTTTTTCTTCTAGATATTCACTACTTTCCGATCTGTTGAATAATATTTGAAATAAAAAGATTATTTAAGTTATAATTGTACATAAATTTATCATGTTCAAAGTATATAATTTTATATACCTTGATTCTTTCCATGCTTCCGCACAAGCAAGTTGTACATTAATCTTCCCATTAGAAACATATCTTAGAGCATCCAAAGCATTAAATTGTAGTGACATTCCGTTCTGATGTGTTAAGGTTAACACATTATTTGGAAACACCATATCTGGCATATGTGGCAATTCTAATGCATTATTATATCTACAAGAATAGAAACCTTATTTCTAAGCATACAATATCTTTTTAAGATAATGATTAACATATAACATACATGCAAAATTGACAGGCATTTGCGTCATTGGTACCGCAACCATTCTCACTTTTGGAGCACTTTGAATGGAGTATATGAGACTGGGTATATTTGATATGCCATGGAGGACAAATGTATTCTTCTTCGTTTACCGGTAATCTTAGAATGTCGATACCACCGTGCACTTTTATAGCTGTCATTGCCTAAAATTAAAAAGATTTGTCACTTCAAGAGAATTTGACGTCGGTATAGGTTAGATAATTCATAAAAATTCAAATTTAAAAAGATATCTATCTCTTATCTTAATCTTTGTTTTCCTAATATTTTTCTAATAATAATAAAGAAGAAATAAAATGGAGAGATTATTCTTCCAAATTAATACAAAATTAATTATTCTTGCAATATTACTGAGCATTCATTATCCACTTACTCCGAAAGACAATTTGATTTTTGTAGTGAATTACACACAAGTTTTAAGAAAACATTGATATTTTGGAATATATATATATATATATATA